GTTTGATGACACATCTGTCAGTGAACAGAGTACAACAGAAGCAAAGTCTATGTTTTCCAAGACAGCTAAATGAACAATTGCAGAGACTATCTCAGGCTGCAGAACTGGGTCAAAGAACAGGGTCATTTTGGGTGGTTCTTGAGGTAACTCTCTCAAGGAAGAACGTGAAGGGTTGCCCCGGTGGAGAAGGAGCTGGAGACATGTCTGACCTGTGCTCACTGAGCTTCAGAGATAACAGAAGCTATGGTGATAAACTCCTTTTCTAGCTGTATCAAAACACCCAAGTCAGGCTCATCCACTCCAAATCAATTTAGCCGTGGCTGGTATGGCCACTACTACAGTTTTTCGGCTTTGATTTGCTGAAAGCTACTCCAGGTCCTAACTTCAGTGTCAAACATGAGAAGGATGGACAAATTCTCACATTCATGCAACACTTATGAACACAGGAATCATCTGGTGCAGCTCTCAGATCTTCTCTTCTTCCATGCCCCAGTTTCTCAATTGTTTTTTACTTCTTCATTTAATCCTATTTTCCTCAGCAAAGGTTATTTAAACTTGAAGGTGAATTAAAACTGACCAGATTGCTCTCTTCAAAGAGTTGTGTAGCACTACACATCAGAACAATTTCCCATTTTTCACGCTGACTTACATTTTGCTGCAGTTAGGCTGTAAAAGACATGTTAAATATTGGCACTTTGAGGCTGCTGGCCTTCAAAAGCGTTCCACAGCAGCAACTGCAGTGTCAACACATGTTAAGACACAGGAAGAATTGACTAGATATATTTAATAAATCCTTTTAAGTTTTGGAGTCCAACAAAGCCTTTGTGGAAATAAGAAGGAGCACCATTCAGTTCAACATGTCACAGCAGCAACAACTGTTTGAGCAGCTCCATGGCAGCTGAAGGAAGACTCATTTCTCCTCGTCTATTCATAAATCAAGCTATAAAGTCCATCATTCATGACAGAAAGCTATCTAGTGAGGCTCTGGCAGTATACAAAGCTACAGAAAAACAACTAGCTCAAAATCCTCAAGAGTTGCAGGTGTAAATAAATCTATCCCTGCTGTTTCAGCATAATCACAAGGCGTGAGGGATTATTGGCAAAATATCTTAAGTTTTCATATGTAAAAATCTGATGGTCAATCACAATAAATTCAACTTGACATCTGAATCAAGGACTTCAGTCTACTTCATAAATTTCACTCAAGGTATGTCACAACACCATATCCATTCAATTTTCCAGTTTGGAGAAACAAATAAACCCGAACACAGTTTCCTCAGGTCAGCTGTTACACAAATGAAGTCCCTTTTAGTTAGCACCCACTAGCATGTTTGGATATGCAATAGAAATAAACTTAATTTTGCAAGTTGTGTGGAGTTTGTTTGACACTCAGCAGGTATGAAAGTGGGGACAGATGTTAAGAGGCAAATAAAATCAAAGTATTAAAAAATAACCCTTTCATTTCTTCCATTTGTTAAGCAGCAGTAAGTCAACATCCTCCATGCAAATAAAATCAAAGTATAAAAAAAAATAACCCTTTTATTTCTTCCATTTGTTAAGCAGCAGTAAGTCAACATCCTCCACTGCAAGCACCAGACTTGGTGCTAAACAACTCAAATCAAGAATATCACCTGTATAGAGTTCTAAGAGCAAACACTTGCAGGCAAGTATATGTACTGCTCTTCATCCTTCTACGGGTCATTACAGAAGACACTGGAAAATACAGTCAGTCTACAGTAATTGCAATCACCTTTTCGAATCCTGAATGTCTGCAATAGAATTGACTCTGGAAAAAAAGTAAGCCTTCCTCAGTGTTTCAGTTGATTTTGCATCATGAATTCTGACTACTCGCACCTGACTATTCATATCACATACAATATGGATGCATTATTTTTCACTGTACCTATATGACATACTAAGCTTTCATCCATTAAAAGTTAAGAATTGACTCCCAAGTATGTTTGTAGAAAGACAAAACTAGAATCTATCATGTGACTACAAAAAAGTCCTATTTTCTTAAAATATTGTCAGTAATGTTACCAAAGGACAGCATTTACATTGCAAGCTTCGTTGAAATTTGCCAGCTGGGATAATGGATAGTATTCTCTGAATTTTCTCCATAAAGATATTTGAGGAAACTTCCCTATCACCTCCAATAACCCTTGTGTAGAAAAAAATTAATGATTAACTTTTGTCATGCAGCACCTGAATAATCTAACACAGTCACTGAACTTTTTTCTTGTTATCACTGTCCACCAATGCCAGTTTTCAAAAGGACATTTACAATATTTCCACATGAACTTTCATGACATAGGTCAGTGTAGACCATTTTTTTTGAAGTTAAAACTACAGCAGACAAGATGATTTCAACTCACTAGTCCCAATATTCATGCCCTGAGGCCAATGACAGCTTTTCTATAAATCCAGTCAGAGGGGGCTTGTGATTCTACCAGTGCATTAAATGAACACTGTGTGTTAAATTACGTGCCAGAGGATATATTCATGGTATTACATCCAGGTAGTATGTTGAGCTGTGCAATCTCCATTAAACAGTTTCTGCTTAATTATATCAGAATGGGTTTAATATAACTAAGGGGAGAAAAACGTCCCAAGTCAGGAACTAAGCTCCCTGCAAGCTGGAAGGAATGACACTCACATGTAAAGACAGTTTTATTTTTATTAACTTAACCCAAGGGTAATACTATGAGATAAAGAAAAGGTCAGATCCAACAAAAAACCTTCAGGTCAAAGGGAACCACTATAGCACCAGGAGCTTGGAGGAGGGAGGGAGAGAACACAGATAGTCACAAACACAAACTTATAAGCTATCTTGGAACATTTTCAAGTATGCCTGTAACGCAACTTTATTAGGTCTAAGTGCAAAGTGAAGTAATCAGCTTTAGGAGATTTCATTAGAAGCTGAAACCTCATCAGATCTATTCAGTTCAAAGTACTTCTGTATATTTTTTTATCCCTTTGGGGGGGGAAAAAAAATAAATCAGACTACAAGTCCCATTTTTTTTTACTTTCTGCACCATATATAATTAAAAGGCTATAATTATGAATGGTGCATTTCTATTCAAAAACCTAAGAAAACACAATATTAATGAAATCAGGATTTAATCTGAAATTCACAGAAGCCAAGGCTTCAATGGGTTTTCATACACATCCTTAGCTTCCCTTAGACAGCAAGCATAGGAAAAAAGCACAAGTCCAACATCCCTGGCGGTGATACAAGAACATACAAGAAGCAAACTCTACAGCTAGGTACCTTTTGAACCAGTAGATCTCCTCTGGATCTGCAATGCCATATTCTCTTAACTTCATCACCATCAGAGCGCTCTTCCTGATGGCTTGCTCGTAGCGTTGGCTACGGGACAGGAAGTTCAAATCCTCGTGCTGGAAGTCAGGGTCATTAAGAACTAAGGCCTCTGGGGACAGTACAGAAGAGGAAAACAAAGTCAGCTTCCATAAACCTCATCAGACAGTGGCTGAGAAAAGATTCTGGTTTTCACATGCTGTACTTCAAGATAGAGATACCAGAAAATTAAAAGCAAAATTAAAAGTTAATGAAGTCAGAAAGAAGTCAAAGCTCTCAGAGAGGGACTCCAGCAACAGGGCACTCTCCCATTCCACACATCAACCACAAGTTTGGAGCACTCTGGACTTGGCAGGAGGTTAATTCACTGACGCAAGACCTGCAGGCCCCTCAATAACAATCTCAAATCCTCAAATAGCCATCGTTACTGCTGGATCAGACTGCGCCACGAACTTTGATCCCCATGCAACTCCTTGCAGAAGGGCACTGCTATTATTCCCACTATGCCGACTGGGAACCAAGGTACCCAGAGGTCCACTGACTTTCCATGTCCCCTTTGGCACACAAGTTACACAACACCAGCCTCTGACAGTCCCACCCCAGTACAGGCTGGGAAAAGAAAGATGATGGATATATTTCATTAATCTCACATTGCATGACAGTGGTGGGTGAGAAACTGGGCATATTTGTACTGTTGGGCAAGAGCATACTAGAAAAGAAAACGGAGGGAAGAGGGACCAAAAGAAAAGCCCATGGGATGCTGCCTCTCACCCTCTGGAGGAAGGGGAAAGAGAGAGGTGAAAGCACATCACTTTACCTGGGCCACCCCTAATCTTTTCTAGGAAGGGAAGTAGAGGAGGATCGGGGACATAACACTGCTCCTGCTCCCCTCTAACCTATTAGACAAAAATCCCTTCCTTCATGCAGGCCCGTCCACCTGCAAGCCCTCTCCTCACAGCTTTCCCCATCCGCAAGCCCTCTCCTTACAGCTCTCCCCTCTCCCTGAGGTCACCCCTCTCCCCCAAAGCTCTTCCCCACACCCCACAGCTCTCCCCTCTCCCCCAAAGCTCTTCCCCACACCCTCCCTCCTCTACAGCCTGCAAACCCTCTCTCCACAGCTTCCCTCCCCACGACCTCCTCCCTTCCCCGGCTCTCCCTCTCCCCTCGCCTCCCCCCGGGGCTGCCCCCCGCCGCCACCCCGGTCTCCTTCTCCCCGGAGGTCCCCTCTTGGGTGTCCCCCTCTGCCCGCAGCCTCTCTGTTCCCCACACACCCCCGCTTCCCTCTCCTAAAACCTCCTCCTCCCTCAGAGCCCTCCCACCCCGTGCTCTCTCCCTCTCCCCACAACCCCCCAACCCGGGACAGACCCCCCCCAACACTCCCCTCAGCGGGGGACACCGCGGGGAGGCGGTGGCGGCCCGACCTGGGCCCTTCCTCACCGATCTCCTTGCGGCGGCGGGTGCGGTCAGCGCCGCCATCCAGGATGTGCGTGAGGAGCTCGGTCTGGAAGGTGGCGGCGGCCCGCTCCCTCCTCAGGTCGGCGTTCATCATCGTGATCCTCTTCCTCACCGGCGGCGGCTCCTTCACCGCCCGTCACCGGCCTCCGCCGCTCCGCCACGCCCACCCCCCGGCGTAACGTCACGACGTCGCTACGCACCGGCGAGCACGTGAGCGCCGCTTACCCTGCGGAGGGCGGTGAGGATCGGAGCGGGACTGGGCGGCGGCCGGGGCGAAATGGCGCTTTAAATTGTGCGGGCGGCAGCTGCGGGAGGAAGAGGAGGGCGGGCAGGATGGATGTGGTGCTTTAAAATGGTGCGTTGGGCCGTGCCGGCAAGCGGTGCCTTGAACTCCGCGCTTAAAGGCCTACCCCGCCCGCCAGTGCCCTGTGAGGGGGGTCCCTAAATAAACACATAGGGTGTCGCTGCTGGGGCTGAGCCTGCAGGAAGGTAACGGGCTGCCTTTGGGGCTGGCGTTAAATACCACACTGGGACTGCACGTGTGACATGTATCGGCAGCCAGGCATTTAAGAGTTCAGTCACCAGAACCTTTACTGCTACAACGGTACAACCTCTACAACTGCACAACTTCTCTCTACAACTCCCCAAAAGGAGGGTGTAGCCGGGGGGGGTTGGTCTCTTCTCCCAAGTCACAGGCGACAGGACTAGAGGAAACAGCCTCAAGTTGCACCAGGGGAAGTTCACGTTAGATATCAGAAAAAATTTTTACCTTGAAAGGGTTATTGAGCACTGGAATGGGCTGCCCAGGGAAGTGGTTGAAGTCTGAAGTCGCAGCAGGGGAGGTTTAGATCAGATATTAGGAATAATTATTTTACTGAAAGAGTGGTCAGGCACTGGAACAGCCTGCCCAGGGAGGTGGTGGAGTCACCATCCCTGGAGGGATTTAAGAAACATGTAGATGTGGCACTTCAGGGCATGCTCCAGTGGCCGAGATTATAGGGGTTTTTTTGTGTGTGTGTGTGGTTGGACTCAGTGATCTCAGAGATCCTTTCCAACCATGATGATTCTGTGATTCTGTAAATAAACAGTTCATTAAGTGCCCATATAGCATGCTCTGTTTCATCACACATTAAATACTGCATTTAGGTAGTGCACTAAATCTGTATTTAATGCACTGTACTTGGGGCCAACGGTGCATTCAGTCTGCAGGTACCACACTGCTGAGGCTGCACTTGCATTAAACGGTGCATGGAATGAGCACATGGCTCTTAAAATGGCATTAAATCATTAAATGCACATTGAGTGTCTGGCATTCCTGGCCGATCCCCTCCTGCTGCGCAGAGTGATTGGGGAGCACAACTTGAGGGATGCAGGACAGCCTTGGCCCCGCTCGGGCGGTGCAGAATTGAACCTGGGTGAGGTGTGGTGGAGGGTGGAGGTGCAGGGAGCTGCATTTCCACCTCTGTCACTGCCAGAGGGGTTTCACAGCCCCTAGCAGTGTGAGGTGGGCAAGGGGAACCAGGCATTAAAGCCACAGGGCTCCAGCTCAGTGCATCCCCAATGCTGTATAATCAGCGTTGGGGGTCCCCGAACCTGTTGGGGTGGCCCCACTTGGCTGATTTACAAGCCTCTCTGCTTGTGGCCATTGTGCACTTGGTGGTCCTCCCCAGCGGGGCAAGAAACCAGAGAGAAAAGCAGTAAAAGGAGCATGGAAACTTGCTGAACACAGATACCCTGCAAGGCAGATCTGAGGGAAAATGATACCAAAAAGAAACCACTTTGTGGCACAGCCAACAGCCTGGCTACGGCACTAGCTGGGCAGAATTAAAACCTTGTCGAAACTGCCCTGCATTCCTGCTTCTGTGCCTGCGTTGCACTGTGACTGGCCTGGCTGTCCCAGGCCTGGAGTTCCCAGGAGGTCCCACCTGAGTCTTGTCTCAGGGTGAATCATTCTCACTCATCACTATCTTCTGATCCCTACTAGATACTGATGAAACCCAGCTGGCTTGTATCCAAGGAATTGTTCTCCAGCTGCTGGATCAGACACTGCCAGAATTTCTTATCCTGCAGCATGAGAACACACTCGGGATCATACCTCAAATCTTGCTGCGTGGTACCCCGTCACCCCAGCAGCTGGGTCTGTTCCTGCAATTCAGTCCCTCACACTCTCTGAAGTTCTCAATCACCGTTTTTCCCACTTCCTTCACCTTTCTCAATCCATCCATAGTCTGGGGGTGACCTGGACAGTCTGGTGGGCTGCCTATTGCTGTTCATGTTGGGTTGCAGGAGGGGAAGGTAGCCCCTCTTTATGCCAGGTACTGGGGTGGCATGAACTCAGATCTTTCACTTTACTGCAGGCCCAGTGGTGGTTGTCAGAGATGCTGCCCAGTGCTGGTGTCTATTACTTCCCGTGGGAGATCAACAGCTCAATCCCAGAGGGGGAGGCGCTGAGGACGTTTGGCAGGTGAGAAGGGTACCCCACTTTCCTTACAAGCCAGGCCTTTCCTTCACTGGCTGACCCTCCCCTCCCTTTGTTTATAATTGTTGAGCTTCCCAAGTCAATCGTTCCCAGGTTATGCAGCTACGACCTGGCCCAGTCCAAAGCCATTCTCACTGCTCAGCACAGCTCAGCTCAGTACCAGGTCTGTGTCGACACCAAGTTTGTGGAGCCATTCCAAGCCCAGCTGGGATCTCGCTACATGGTCCTGGGAGAGGCTGAACACAGGGAAGGTAAATACTCCGAGAACCAGTGCCTTTTGCTGCTGTTCATGGTTCATCAGCTCCTTCGTGGCTCCCTGGGCGCATGGTGAGACACACTGTCACTGAGGTTAGCGTTGGCCAAGGCAGGTTCATCTCCCATGGCTGCCTCTGATCACACGAGCGTGTGATTGAAAGTAGAAGCAGCCCATCTCTCCTTGTTGACCATGAGAAGAGCCACCCTTATCTTGGTGAAAATCTGGCGCTCTGGCACGGATTTCATTACAAACAAGAAGTGCCTCAGCAGCATCGCTGAGCTTGTGAAACCTGTGCTGAAGCCTTCTGGCATCATTGCCAGCCACCACATCATCTTCACTCCAAACGTGGCTGATTGCAGCAATACCTCATTGCAAGCTGGCTGGGTTGGTCTTTGCCATCCTTGAAAGGCTCTAATTATATCCCTGCCCTCAGACACGGGGCGTGAGGAATGCAGGCCCTGTCACGCAGGGCACCCTGTTGTCCTCTCCTGGGGTGCCCTGAGCATTACTCCAGCTGCACAGTGGTTTGCGTGGGGAACTGATCCGGGCTGGGCCATGGGGTTGTGAAGCAAATCTCAAGTGTTGTCTTAGCCACACCTGATAACAAGCATTCGCATTCGTGCCCTTGATAGTGGCAAGTGGAAAGCCACCTGCACATGGCATCAGGTCAGTGACCTGCTAAGCCAACTGCTGCAAAATTCCTTTAGAAAGGTATTTTGATCATCACAGCCTAGGAGGGAGTTGGCTGCATTTTGCAGGGGTGGAAGAGGGGCTGGCTGAGATGGTGGCTGAGTCACAGAGGTTTGGCCCCTTTTGTACCGCTCCTTGTTGCCATTTGAATGCCACCGACGAGCTCTTGGTTATAGTCATCATTGACCCTCTTCTAAGCCCAGTTTTGTCCTGTCCTCTTCTTGTGTGCACAGAGGCATTCAGAAATGACCTTAGACCCATCCCGGATGCTTTTTAGACAGGGAAAACCAAACTTCATCCAGCTGTGAAGTAGACAGATGTTGCATGGCAGGCACCGTGTCCTGGGCTCAGCATTCCCCAGTGCCAGGAGAGCACAGCGTCAGTCACCAGCATCTTGTAGCCAACAGGGCAGAGGGAAAGCACGTCACTGAATTAACCTGCTCCCGGGCCTGCTGCTCACCTCAGTGGAGGCACGTGGCCAGTCCGGTCTCCTGCAAATTCTCAGGCTACAGTTATTTGCCCAGCTGGAGCCATATGCTGCCCGATGGAACCTCTCTGTTTGCCTCTGGGCTGTTCCCTGTGTTTTTCTTTCTACAGAAGCTTCCTGCTTATATTCCCAGGTGAGGGTCCCGTGGTAAAGGCACGAATATTGACCTGCGTGGAAGGGATGAATGTGCCTTTGCTGGAACAAGCCATACAGGAGCAGAGGAAATACTTCAATGAGAGGCAGGAGTGGATGGGAAACAGCACGTCCTGACAGCAGCTCTGAGACCAGCCATAGGCTGATCCTTGCGCTGCCATTTGCAACGAATATGTTAAAAAATTTAGAAGGTGGGTTTGCAACAAACTGCTTTTTTTCCGATGCAAATCGCAAAGTCAAGTCAGTAAGCAGGGAAACACTTGAAGACTGTGAGCCGGTATGTGACTGTGGGTTGCCCCATTCATGCCAGGTGTCATCACTGAAAATAGCTCTGGGAAGCAGGTTTGGTGTTTGCTTAAAAGGGTGGTGAAAGAAGGGGAGCACTTGAGTTACAGGGTCCTTTTGTAACACAAGGCTTGGAGATGTCAGAAAAAGGAGAAGTCTCTGAAGCTCGAGTTAAACAGCTCACACCCATGCGTGCTACCAAAGTGCAGTGGGCTACTGGGCCTTGGGCAGATGGGAGGTAAAGGGCATTAGTGCAAAGTTCGTTAGCCGCGCGGGTCCATGAGTGCATGTGTTTGGTTACTGTGACTCAGCTGCCACACAGGAGCATTGCTGGCAAAACACTCACATAGCTGGGCTGACCAACAAAGAAAGAGGAAGAACAAAGAGTCACTATTTTCAGTAGCACCTGCCTCTTCGGGTTTTCAGGAGCTGATGTCCAAGGGGAGGGATTTACTTTAGTTCTAAAATAAATATTTGCAGTGCCCTGAGAACCACCACTTGACTCTCTTCTTTGACACAACTGAATTTAGGAGACCTTAAATCACTGTTTTTTTGAAGCATCTGAAGGTTTTGATTGATATTTTCCTAAATAAAGATGAAAAGAGATGGCAGTCTGTCTTCTATTGATTAAAACCCTCTTTGTTTGTTGCTAAGGCAAATGCATTAGGCCCTGCAGAAACCCCATGGATGATGTAAGAAAGTTTAGCGATATGCAATGTTCCCCCTTTTCCTAAGTGCTGGGTGTGTAAGGAAGTGCTTGGCTTTTAAAAAGTTGCAAGAGGAGGAGACGAAGTTAACGTCAGAACTGCTCTGGTTTGAGAACATGGTACCAGGCCCACCCGGCAGCATTAAACCACCAACAAAAAGAAAATCACTCCTGTAAGATGAGAATAAAATGTTAGTGCAAGAGAGACAAGCCTCTTCTGTGCTATAGGAATTCATGGACCTGGATCCCCCAGCCACTTGCAGCCGTTTCTGCTTTTTGCTCAGATTCTCTGGTGAAATGTTCAGAAATTAAGAACTGAAGCCATGCAATACACAGCAGCAGATCAAAATGCAACAGGTATTGGCAAAGTCCCCTGTTACTGGCAGGCTTGATTCAAAGGCCTGAGATGGCTCAGTAATTACAGTGCTTGCTATAATCTTTAATCATAGTTTAGCTTTATGTTTTTCTTCATGCAGTTCCAGAGAGCCAAAAGCCCTGCCTCAGTGCACGCTCTGTTCAGCCCAAGTCCAAAAACATGATCTCAAGAGCTCAGATTTTAACCTGGTTTTGTAAGAGACGATGAGTCTGTCATGATGTGTTTGTGTTTATACCTCATCTCCCCTCTGCTCTACCTTCCTCCCTGTGCTTAAATTTTAACCAAATGGTGAGGTTTGCCAGGGAGTTGGGAATATCCAAGATACCAGGACTGGGAATATCCAGAATACCGGGTTTCTACAAGTACTATGAAAAAAATATCCACAAACCCAACCAGCCAGGAAGAGGAGAGCAAGTTTAGCAATGACTCCGGATGGAGACGTCAGTGCAAACTCAACCTTCACAAGCCACCAGAGTACCACACAGGACTTTGCTGTGGCTGTGTGGATCCCTCTTCAGCCACAGAGCAACCACACAGGATAATTTTAAAAACATTTTGAGATGGTGGCTCAGCAATGCCTTTCAGCAATGCCAATCAGTCCTTTTTAGGTCACTTAAAAGTTGTGGTCTGCACTGCGGATCCATGCAGCCGGTGAGCTGCCATGTCCTGCTCTGCCCACCCAGAGACATGGAGCCCCTGAGTCTTCCAGAAGACAGTCCCTGTGGCTCTACCTTTCCTGGTGCCACGATGCATAATATTTTTTTTAATCGTGTTTTCTGTCAGCTGTCGAGTCAATGATTAATTCCCCCACCCCCCCACAAAGGACATCTTCCAAAAGGCTGACAAAGCAGCGCAGCCCACAGTGGGGAGGTTCAAGGGACAATTGTGCAAGACAGGAAAAAAAAAAAAAAACCATTTCTGCTGTGTGTTTGACCTGACTGTGTCCCAGGAACCCTAATGACACACCACATCCCCTTGATGCCAGGCACTGTACAAACAGAGCTGCAGAGCTTCCCTTGGCCCTGGGCGGTCCCTGTTGCCTTTCCCGCAGGCCCAAAGCACACTCTTTACCTCCATTTTGCTCGATTTTTGCTTTGGCTAGAACACAGCACAACCTGGGTGTGAGAAACACCGACTCACATCTTAGAATTTAAAGAGGACAAAGTCACCAAAGCAAAGGTTAAAAAAATAATAATTTATTAATACGAAACAGCGCTGAATCGGGTGCACCAAAAATAGATGCACGATGATCTTTTAGCTTTCAGGTATTTTATACCTTTATCCCGGCCGCTTGAGTTTCTGTCTCCCTTCTCATTGGCTGAGAAGTTGGAGCTCACATTCTTCCCGGCCGCTTGATCTATAACAGGTTTATTTTGCATTTTTTCCCATATAAGGCACACATACACCTATTCTACGAAATCATTATCCTAAACATGCCTTTGATTAGTTGATTATGCTACACGTTATTTCAGAGTCTTTGCTACCATCTACTTGGCAGATTTACCAGACTGGTTTCTTTGGCCTTATTGATACACCCCTACCCTTTGGGTTTTTGTGTTGAAGGCCATGTTCCAGTTTGTTTCTCTTCACCTAGATAACGCTCTGTGAACAAGGATCCTTTGACAGACCAAGGGCATTTCTGGGGATTAATTGGATACAATTTATTAGACTCTACTATTACTAAGGCTTCTTTGTTAGTACTATCACACTAACAATGATACATCAATAAGCTGAAGCAAAACTTAGCTTATTTCCCACATGGGTTACAACCAACCAGTCCTGGGTGGCGGGTGTACGGTGTGTTTGGCCCTTTTGTCTACCCAAAGAGCCCCAGACACTCCCAAAACCCTCAGGCAGCTCTGCCCGCCCCCAGTTCAGGGCTTCCTGTTCTAAGGGAGCAGCAAAGGGAGAGCCAGACCCTGAAAGCAGCTCAGGGGACACAGAAGGAGAACCAACACCTTCCGCATATTGGCTTATTTTCCCTCCCTTTCCTTTTTTTCTCCTCAGAAAGTGGTACCAGCCACCCCTGCTGCCATCACCAGGCCGCAGCAGCGCCATGGACACCTTCCAGGAGGTGTTTCAGAAGTTGGGGAAGATCGGGGAGGGAACCTATGGCGTGGTGTACAAGGCTCGCAACAAGCGCACAGGGCAGCTGGTGGCCCTCAAGAAAATCCGCCTGGACTCGTGAGTGGGGCAAAACCCTGACCCTGGGGCTGCCATGACATGGCCCAGCTCGGTGTCCACCCAGCCCACCATGATGCCAGGCCGACTGCCTCCTTGGCATGGTGGCAACAGGGTGCTGAAATGAAAAGCGGGGAGGAGAAGGCAAATGGCTCCTCTGGGGCCAGCGGTGCCATCTGTGAGGAGATGGCCGCCAGCTGAGCCCAGCAGTGCGCCAGCCCTGCCATGGGAGTGAGCAGGAAGGCCCTCCACACCAGCTCAGTGTCCAAAATGATGCGAGAGGCTCAAAAAAGTGAAAAACATGAGGGGAAAAAATGTCTCTATTGGCTCGTGAAAGCAGCTAGGGCCTGACCCAGCGCTACCTGACCCTGGCGCCATGGCCCAGAGCAAGGAGAAGTAGCCACCATTTTGGGAGGTGGCCTCTCCCTCAGGGGCATGTATGGTGGTGGGGCCTGGTGAGGCTTGGCCTCCCACCAGGGCTGATGTCAGTCCCTCCAGGCTGGGCACTGAGCAGATAAAATCTTACTACCATTCCCCTGGGTTGGTCCTGGGCTGTCTCCACAATAAGGGGTGCCAGTGTGGACCAGAGGCCATGGTGGTGGGACTGCCGCTCCATGGTGGCCCCTCTGGATGGGGCAGGCGGCTGCCTGAGGGGTGAAGAGCTTTCATCTCCCCCACCTCCAAAAAGTGAGGCTTGGGAATTTAAACCCCATTGTTTCTTCTCCAAATGTGCCCTCAGGTGCAACCAAACAAGCTCTGCCCCAGAGTCTGCAGTCTCGCACCCCCCTCTCTCTCTCCTTTCCCATGGCACCATTTCCCCCTGCCTCACCCCAGCCCACCCCACATTAAATTCCATCCCAAAACTGGGGCACTAGGTGTGAGAGACCCTCCCCTGGGAAGGCGGTGGGGTACAATGGAAGGGAGAAGGGACACAGGGCCCTGGTGGGCTGTGTGATCCCACTAGGGGATGGGGTGCCATATACAGCCTGTCTCTGCTGCAGGGAGGCAGGTGAGGGTGTCCCCAGCACCGCGATCCGAGAAATCTCACTGCTGAAGGAGCTAAAGCACCCCAACATAGTCAGGTAAGACCTGGATGGACCTTCCCCACCAGCTCATTGATGAGGCCCTACTGGGGGATCTGCGGGTACAGGCAGGAAGAGGGGTTTTCCTGTCCTTCCCTGACTGCACATATGGGAACAAAATAAACAGGAAAATGCAGGAATCGCTTGCACTTCCCTGGTTTGCAGCAATAGCCCACAGCACTGCAACCAGCAACACAAGCTGGTCCAAGCTGCTGCTGCCCTACACTAGATGCTGCTTTTATATCTGCTTCTCTGCCCCAAAGGATTCACAGAGCAGGGGCAGCTGTGAGAGGAGGGATATTTGTGTATTTGCAAAGGTCTGGAGAAGGTGTGAAAGATACTAAAGGGAGCGCTTGCACTTCTTTTGCAGGCTCCTGGATGTCATACACAGCCACAAGAAGCTCTATCTAGTGTTTGAGTATCTGACTCAGGACCTGAAAAAATACATAGACTCAGCCCAAACTGGAGAGCTTCCTTTAAGCTTGGTCAAGGTACAGTGTGGAAGGAGTGCCAACAGGCAGGGCAGAGAGCATGTCTCCTTGCTGCCTTCTGCTGGGCAGAGCCAGCACTGAGCTGCCCTTACCCAGGCTGCTTCTGGAAGAGATTCATCCTTGGCTGGTGGCATTCAGCCTCTCAGATCAAAAACGTTTCAGCTGGGAAAACCTCACAGCACTCTTGCTCAGCACATTTATTTCCCAGCTGTTTCCAGGCTCTCCAGCCCATCTCGCTGAGTGGCTCACAAGTCTGGTGTTGCATTATAGCAAGGTCTCTTTTCCCATTCAGGCCTGTAAATGATCCAAAGCGTGTTGGTTCTCATGGTTAAGCCTTCCAAGTGATTTCATTGTGGCTTTGTCTGAAACCTCTTCTCTCCTTAGAATTACCTTTTCCAGCTGCTGCAGGGTGTGAGCTTCTGCCATTCGCACAGAGTCATCCACAGGGACTTGAAGCCGCAGAACTTGCTGATTAACGAAGCAGGAGCAATCAAGCTGGCTGATTTTGGACTGGCAAGAGCTTTTGGAATCCCCCTGCGCACATACACTCATGAGGTATTGTTGAGACTCCCTGCTCCCTGAGAGAGGGATACAAAACCTGTAGTGAGTGAACAGCAGCATCACAAGTTACTTGTCCATAGCTGTGGCACAGCTGGGCCCAAGCACATGCTCTTAACCTAACCCACAGCTAAGGGGTTACCTCATGTCCCCACAAAGTGCGCTCACTGCTTCTACCCTAGCCTGCCTGCAAGCTGGGTTCCCACCTTATCATAGAATCATATAATGGTCAGAGTTGGAAGGGACCTTAAAGATCATCCAGTTCCAACCCCCCTGCCCTGGGCAGGTTGCTCAAAGCCCCATCCAGCCTGGCCTTGAACCCCTCCAGGGATGGGGCAGCCACAGCTTCTCTGGGCAACCTGTTCCAGGGTCTCACCACCCTCACAGTAAAGAATTTCTTTCTGGTATCTAATCTAAATCTCCCCTCTTCCAATTTAAAACCATTACCCCTTGTCCTGTCACCTTCTCTGCATAGAGTATATTTATTTATTCATGCCTGTCCTTTTGAGGAATCACCTGTTAATCCCAATCTTGTTGTCGCTAAGGTGTTTGTTAACTGAGCATCGCCTTGGCACACTCTGATTTGTACAGTTGCTGCATTACTCCTGAGAAGAGAGGATTCCACGCCTCTAGTTTCACCCAGGGAAACTGGAAAAAGCTTGTTTGTTGGTTCCTTACCAGGTGGTGACTCTGTGGTACCGAGCCCCTGAAATACTGCTGGGATGCAAATACTATTCAACTGCAGTGGACATCTGGAGCGTCGGCTGCATCTTTGCAGAAATGGTAGAATGGGTTTAAATAGTTTCTTTAATGAGCAGGGAGGATGCAGCTGCAATGGGAAGTGGGGAAGGAGGGACAAGATGCAGAACAGCTGTGATACTGTGGTCCCACCCTGTGCTGTGTAGTACGGAAAGTCCACCCTGAGGGTTAGCTGACCCTTAGCTGTGGGCTCCAAAGGAAATCTGCCACCCTTGGGGGTCTGGCAGAGGGCAAAGAAGCCTCTGTAGTCCCGCTGCAGTCACAGATACATAGAGTGCGATGGCTCTCCTTGCAGAAGGGATAACTTCAGTCTTGTTGCTGCAGTATTCTGATTGCGGGAGGAGATGACTGCCTTGCAGATGTTCCTGCAGTGGGCTGCAGAGAACTAGCACTTCATAGCATGGCAAAGTGGATCTTCTAGGGGTCCGTGCTCCACTTTGACGAGCTTTTGTTATCCCTGCAGTGTAATAGCACTACCCTTAGCTCCCAAAGCCCCCGAGCTGCAGATCAGCAGAGCCTGGGCGAGGAGGCGGGGAGAGGACTAATCCTGCAAGAGTGAGTGTTAGGAAACTGGAGACAGAGAGGAATAAGGGACTGGCTGAGAGAGGGACAGCCTCAGGGGAGCACAGAGCCATGGAGAGGAGCTGGAGACAAGCAGACACCCACCTGTGACCTCCCCAACCACTGCCAGGCAGAATGGCTGCATTGTCACTTCCCATTCAGTGCAGTTGTTTGCATCTGCTGGGACAAAGGGTTGCTTGCAGTGGGAAGCAGGGCACACAGCTGATGGAAAGGTGGGAACTGGCTCTTTTTTTTTTTTCCCCCTAGGTGACCAGGAAGCCCTTATTTCCAGGGGACTCTGAGATCGATCAGCTGTTCCGGATCTTTCGCACCCTGGGCACTCCCACCGAGGTGACCTGGCCCGGGGTGACCCAGCTGCCCGACTACAAGAGGGAATTTCCCCGATGGGCAAGGAAGGAGATGAAGGAAATTGTTCCCAACTTGGATCAAGACGGTAGAGACCTACTGGTGGTGAGTGAGGGCTCAGAACAAGACCCGGGGACAGATAAGACCTTTTCAAACTGGGCAAAGAATAGGGATATTTGGGACTGATCTACCCAGAAGTGCATTAGCTAATCCAGCTCTGATGCTCATATCTCTGCCGTTGTAGAAACACCGAATCATCAAATAGGACTCAGTCCTGGCTCTGAAGTGGAGCTGTCAGTGCAGGTTCCTCTAGGAAACCACTGCATTGAGGGTCAAAAAACCCCTCTAGAATAATCCCCACAGCAACTTCAGCTGCAGTTACTCCTGAAGCCCAGAGAGGGGAAAATGCAGGACCAATGTCTGCATCTGGGCCCAGCCACGGGCAGGTGCAATCCATCGTTTGTTTTTTAAAAGCCTAAATCTGCTGGGTTTTTTTCTTGGCAGCAATTGCTCCTGTACGATCCCAACAGGCGCATCTCAGCCAAGGCAGCCCTCAGTCACCAGTACTTTGTCCGGAGAAGCCCTCAGAGCCCTGAAGAGCAACGTGCACTGCAGGGACACTGCAGATGAGCAGACTCAGCTCTCCCCACGAGTTTACACCTCCGGCTATCGGTGAAGATCTGACTTTGGGCACTGAGCAGGGGCTGGCTGGGACCCAGGGTCTCACATCTCCCGAGGAGCCTGGAGGGGGGACATTCTTGCATTTAGAGACTCACAGCCTGTTGCTGGGGGAAAGTTTGTCTGGGTTACAGCCAGCAGAGCTGTTTTGACACTGAAATGTAGATGAGAGGGTATCTTTCAGAAGGTTGTCCTTGCGTTAGTCAGTGAACTAAGGTAACACACAGTGACTTCTGTCTCTCCACACAGGAGCATCCCCAGGTCTGCTGGTGGCAGTTTCTGACACCAGGGTGTGCTGGAGCTCCACTTGTGTGGGCGAGTGCTTCTCTGCTCAGCCCTTCACTGCCCTTACCAAAATCTGGAGCTGTTTAACTTGAGCTGTTTAACAGAGCTGTCGTTCTTCTCTGTCACAAACTGAAGAGCACTATCAGATATCTTAATGTGTGCCTCAGCTGGGACCAAGAAGCCAAAAGATCCGGGTAGCTTAAAGCACTTGTTGAATATTGGCTGGAAATAGTAACAGCTGAAACACTGCCTTTCCCTTGTCCACTGTGCTGCTGTTTCCTTCACTTCATTGTCTTGGAAATGTTTTTGCTGTTCAAATGTTTGGAGAATTGGCACAAGCTTTTTGGTGTGGTTTTGCCATCTTCATTTTTTTTCTTTCATACAGAAAAAAATAAAGGCTTGTCATTTGTTCAGGGACCTTGGTGTTTATTGTCTGGTGTGGCCCATGGGGCGAGTGACGCAGGACAGTCTGTCCTGACAGACCCCCACCAGCGAAACCCTGGGACCTGCTGCTCACCTCCCTCCATCCAGGCTGCAGGTTTAGAAGCTGCTGGGACCTGGGGAGCTCGCTTGCCTCTGCAATTTGCACAGATCAGGTTTTTTGGGGTGAGTGGGGGGTTGTTTTGCTTCTGGAGCTGTTGTTGGGAGTCAGGCTGGAGTGGCTGCCTGGAAAAAGCAGCCCTGCTCGCGTTTGGGAGGGCTGGTTTGCTGGGGGAGCAGGGGAGAGCAGGCAGCTGGGCTCACACAGCAGCATCCAGAGCCACGTGGCAGGAAACTTGAAGTCCTGCAGCATCTCACCGTCTCTGAATGACAGCACCCAGCTCGCAGGAGCGCCTTTCTGAGACACGGATGAATTCTGCTATCAGAATCATTTCCCTGCCTTTGCATACGTGTTTTAAAGTCAATTCATTCTGTACAATGCTCCGTTGTTCGGCCTCTGCAAACAAATGCCTGTGTTGGACCAAACTGTTTGCAGAAGAGTTTGTTGGTTGGTTTGGTTTTTTTTTTTTAAAATCTGCATTAAGAAATAAAAACCTAGGACATTCATCCAGTCCAGAAACATAAATAAAAATACTACAGCTCATCTAGCCTGACAAAATGAAGCAACAGCCTGAATTTCAAACATTTATGACCCAACCCCACTGCCAGAAAAGGGAACCAACAGCAACTGTATTGAAATAACTGCTTTGGGAAAGCTGCGATGCAGCACCATCGTCCTGCACCCGAGAAGGGAGGAAAAGCTCCTCCTGAGCAACTCACAACCCATAGGAAGCCTCATGGCTTTGTGGTGCTTCCAATGGGCATGTCAAGAGGACACGATACGAGCTGCTTTCTGCAGATGAGGACCATTTGACAGCAAAGAAAAGGATTTTTTTAGTACTTTTCTCTCCAGAAGCAAAAAGCAGACCAGCCTTCAAGGGAGACTGCTCAGCCAGCCAGACAACTCACCTGCCTAATTGCCTCTTAACGCCTTCACCCCCCCTAGGTAAATACCTCCCACCAGGCAATTAGGGAGCACTTTATCCAAAATGATTAACTGATTACCAGAACTCCGAGTTCCTTAGTTACAGAGCACTCCCCAAAACTGTTTAACCAGCACTTCAGGAAAGAGTTACCCCGTGAACATCGTAGGGGTTTAAAAATAAGCATGGTTTTACCTACTTTGCATGGGGAGCAGCCGGGAGGAGGGCGGCCCTAGAGCCCAGCACCCTGCCCCACGGAGCCGGGCGAGGGGAAGGCTGATGGCAAACTCACCCCTCTGGCAGAGCCCAGCTGCAGGAAAGGACCTGTTGCTGATGGATGCTCCCTGCTTTCACCCAGCTGAGGGGGAACAAAGCCAAAGCACAGCAAGGCTGCCACATGCAGCTTTGAAGAGCTGGGACCCAAGGACTGCTGGGAACCATGCTGATCCAGGTCTCCTTGGTTGCACTGGGACGTGATGCTCACCTGGCTGTGCTCCTGTGCTCCCAGGGCTGTTGGGCTTGCACTGGCAGGAGGCCAGGCTGGGGTTCCTCTTCTGATGTGGTCTCTGATCCATCACAGCCCAGCTCCAGCCCTTGCTGCTGGTCCAGACCAGATGGTGGGGGGTGCACCACCAGCAGTGCTCTACCCAGAGGAAACATGCTGGGAATGGATGCTCTGGGGTGCGTGCAAGAGTTTATCCTATTGCAAACCAACAAGTTGGCCCGTATTGATCGTGGCAGCTGAGGTGGCCACAGACACCAGCCATGGGCCTGACAGTAAACAGAGACCCTGCAGAGCATGGGACAGAGCCTGGGCAGATCTTGGACTGGAAACTTGGTGTTTCTACAGCTGGACTCAGAACGTTAATGCTGACCACTATGTACCAGAAGGAAGATAATGGGACCTGCCCTTGTGCTGAGCTTGCCAACACAGGAACAATTTCTTCTTGGAGCCCAGGGTTCAAATCCCATCTAGGCTATACAGAAATAGAGGCTATGCTCCTGCTTTGATGGGGGAAGGAAGGGGAGAAAACTTCTACCCTCACAGATTATTTTGGGTCTGCTGGAGTTCCCAATCAGCTAAAAGAACCCTCAGGAAAGGAGGAAGAGGGGCTCATATCAATAGAAAGTCATTTTTCTTTTCCTGCAAAGCCAGAGGATGCTCTGCAGGGGAGCAGATACTAGAGAAGAACATCTGGGAGATGAGACTTGCTCATTTCAGCAAGGGCCAAGCAGTGGAAGTTACACAGAGGAGGGAAAGCTCACCTAAAGAAATAGCAAGTGCAGATTTCCCAGTACTGCTGGGTGGCTCCTGCAGCCAAGGCCAAGGGCTGTAGGGCAACCAAGTCCCTCTTTCAAAGGTGTCCAAATGACCAGGAAGCAAAGTCCCGTTGGTTTTCAGTTTTAGAATCATAGAATCATCTAAGTTGGAAGAGACCTTTAAGATCATTGAGTCTAACCATTAACTCAACACTGCCAAAACCACCACTAAACCACATCCCTCAGCACCAACATCTACCGGTCTTTTACATAACTCCAGGGATGATGATTCAACCAAATCTGCAAAAATATGGACTTCATGTGGAAAGAAATGTGGGGGGGTTCAGCGCTGTGAGACTGGGGGGAGCAAGACCCTGCAAACCCTTTGTAGATTGGGCTGCGGGGCATAGGATTGCATGGGGGGGGAGGACGAGTCCTGCCTTTGGTCGCTTTGGAGCCTGAGCCTGCAGAGACAACACAGCCACAGAGACACACACTTTCTATCTTTATTGCATGCAGAAGAATGACCCAACACTGGCTCTCCCCCCTTTTCTGGGCATAACCGCGTTTAACCGACTGCTAGTGGAGTTCTCGCAATCAACCCCCCCTTTGCTGTCACAGCAGCCCCCGGGGGGACAGTGGGGACCCTGGTGTCTCAGGCCCTTCCACGATCACGCTTTCCTCCCTCACACGGCCGAGCTGCGTTGGGAAGCAGATAGCTAAGACAGAAGAGTATGCAGTCCTGATTGCCAGACGCTCCGTTCCTGTGATCGCTGCTGCCTCCACGGGGAGAGGTGTTTCGTAGGGATGAACTCCTGAAGGAACCAGATCCAGAACGTGCCTGAATCCACTCAATGCCTGAACCGGGAGAGCCTGGGGGAACGGCTCGCTTGGTGGTACCGCTGATAGCCCTCCGAGGCGGCTGGGAGCAGCAGGAGGCTGCTCAGCGAATCCTTCTGGCAGAGGGCCATGGCCTCCTTGTAATTTATCTTCTCTTTAGTGACAGGGTCGATGAGATCCTTTTCATAGTTGGACTCATCCTGGAGCCTGTTGGCCAGGTCGCCTGTTATCATCCCTGTCTGGGCAGCTTCCAGCACGGGGATACGACCGGTTTTCTTGGGATCGATGAGCCCTCCGGTTAGATGCTGGACCTCCAGGTAGGGGAAAGCGCTGTCTCTGGTCATCCATCCCTTCTGAAGTGCTTCCCCCACAGACAACCTTCGCTTGGTCACCGGGTCCTCAATCCCCGTGAAAGCTTTCTGGGCATTGAGCAGTCTCTGCATGTAGGTCCTGTCAATCAGCCCCCTCTCGATTGCCTTGTGGACTGAGAAACGGTCCCGAGAAATGAGGTCTATGATGCCCCCCGTGGCAGCCTGGGCTTCCAGGAGCTTCTGAGCCGTCATAGGATCAAGCAGCTTCTTCGCAACAGCAGTCTTGATGTTGTACTTGGTGTCAGTGGTGGTGTCATACACGCCGGCGATGGGGGATGTGTCATCACAGAAGCCTTTCTGGGAGGCTGGGGGGAAGAAGCTTTGGGTTTGGTGGGTGGTGGGTGATGAGAGTGGGGATTTGGAGATGATAGAGCCAATAGAGAGGGATGGGGGAGGCTTGGTTTCCCCAGCCACCAGCAAGGCAAATTCAGAGATGGGAATCTTGCCATCCCGGTACAGCTGGTACTCCTCCTTTGTGATCCTCCTCAGCCTTAGCGCATCATCGATGGAGTACTGCTTCCCACTTTTCTTGTCAAGGAGAAGTGAGACTTCACCATTTGGGCCCAGGGTGGTGACTTCCTCCCAGTCGCACTCCAGCTCTTGCAGCTGGATGTACTGGCCTCTGTCTATGATACCTCTCTTATAGGCCTCGTAAGGGGACATATCCTTCCCCGTGTCGGGGTCCAAAATAGAGATCTTGGTGGAGAGGTTCGTCTCTCTCATCTGGGTCTCGTGATTGATTTCTTCCCGGTTGACCCTTGACTGGAGATCTCGAATGAACCTCTCCTTGTTGTAGATCTGGTCCTTCTCTCTAAGGATGTCTGCCTCCAGCAGGGAAAACTCATGTTCCAGCTGCTTCTTCTTCTGCCTGTCGTTCTCAGTCCGTTGGTTGAGCAGTTTGGATTCCTCCCGAAGGAAGAGGACTTTCTGCTGCTTCTGCCTCTCCAGCTCCCGCAGTTCACTCTCCAAGTTGGCTCTCTCCTGGATGGCCAGGTTCCTGGCTTTCTGCAGCTCTGTCTCTTCGCGAGCCCATGTCCTTTTCATGCCTTCAGCTCTCTCGATCTTCTCCCTGAGCCGCCGTACCTCCTCCTCTGCCTTTTGCTTGGCTCCTCTCTCCCTGTTCAGCAGCTCCCAGATGCGTGCACGTTCACTCTCCAGTGCTCTGTCCTTTTCCACTCGAATCACCTCCTTGTAGATGGTCTTCTCCTGGGATTTTGTTTTCTGCAGGACATCAACTTGCATCTGCAGGTTCTTGCATTCTCTCTGCAGGTTCAGCACCTCCATCTTCTCACGGTCCAGCTCCAAGCGCAGGTTGCTGGCAGACTGTTCCAGGACTGGATCCTTCTCCAACTTGACCACTTCTTCCATAATGATCTTTTCTTGCACTGGGGCTGGGCTCTCCTCCAG